AAAATTCCAGTCAAGCAAAGAAGTTAAATCCAGCAAGAACAATCATACACATCAAATTACAACCATGAATTAATTGGAAAATTCATCCAAAGAGAGTGGAACCTGTCTAAGTGAATAGCCAGAGTGGGAATTCGCATTATAGGCTCCTTTATTCTAACCAATCGATGTGAATATGAAACAGAACCACCTTTTACTTCTCTTATCATCACCCTCCCTGCAACAGTCAAGTCACGATCGAACCACGTATACCACAATCCACCCCCATATGTCTGGACTCCAACCTCCAGATACCCTCCTTTTGTAACCTGATCAATAAACAATGAATCCACACTTTTCTAATAATTAAATAAGACTTCAGCCACACTTTTCTAATAATTAAATGAGACTTCAGCATAAACACAACATCACCTTAGAAACTGGCTTGAGCTTTGGGCAAGGACTGTCAGTGTGAGCACCAATGATATGGAATCCATTTCCAGCAGCATATCTAAGCAGAAAGTCAAAACCTCATGGTCTGAGTGACAGACAAACAAGATGGAAACTTATATTAATGGTGCACTAGTTCTAATCACACTAGGCACATAAATTCGCAGTCGATATTTTCCTTTGAATGCCTACAAAAAAACAGATTAGAACTTTTTTTTGTTTCTAAGAAATGACATGTACAGCAGGCGCCATCCCAAGCAGTTGTTAATCTCATTTCATGGTTGTTTCACTCCTACTAAGTCGTCAGTTATAAAATAACAATTTTCCTACCTCGTTTCTTTTCAAATTTCTAGCTGACCAAACAAACTATAAGCAGAGAGAGCATAGAAAGTCTGAGCAAGACATGGGAGAAATAAGCATAAAACCATACTTTTTACCAATTGCAAAAGCAACAATGGTGGAGTGATTCCTGGTGAAGAAATATTTCTTCCCTGCTTCTAATTTCCAATCTTCTCTCTCCAATATTTGCTCATATCCAGCGTTTCTCAAACGTTTCTTCGCCTCATCTGTATTCAAACACAAACAACAACTGAAATCACAAATGACAAACCAAACAAAATTCATTTATGTTCAAACAAAAAGCAATAGATTAAAAATCTCATAATATCCCTGATTCTGTTAACATAATTATTTTGACTCACAATGTACCAAATCACTTGGACTTAGCTTATGGATAAAAATTAGTAAAGGAAAGGAAGGGGAGGGGAGAGCAGGGAAAGGAAAGGATGGATATTAATTTTATTTGAATATATAAAAATAAAAAGGATAAAAAGTTGCACCTCAACTGCTATAGACCGGTTTGAAGGTGCATATCTCCCCGGCTGGGGATCAATTCCCCCACCCCATTTGTAACCCTATTAAAAAAAAAATAAAAAGATAATATTTTTATTTAATTAATTAATTTAATAAAAAATAAAATAAAGGTAAATAAATTTTTTTAAATTTATTAATTAAATAAATAATTAAAATAAAAAAAAATATATATTTTAAAAACTCCTTTAAAATTAAAATTATATAAAAAAAAAAAAAAAACTCTGCCCCCATTGCTATCCTCTCCTTTCCCTCCAACTTCCTTGATCCAAAAAACGTTTTAGAAAAGAAGATTATTTTCACGGAGACAGATTTTACAGGGGAACCAAACAGAAAATCAGAAAATGGAGAAAAACCATTACCGACGGCGTGAAAAGCAGTAGGAGAAGCGTTTAAGAAGCTGAGGAGATCGGAGACGACTACGCTTACTTCACCGTTGCCCATGATTTCCTCACTCTGACTGTCTTGGCCTTCTCCTCCTACACTCCCCATTTATAGCGTTTCTCGACATTGGAATTTCCATTTTCCTTCGTACGCGAGAATCTATCTATTAGCCAAAAATTTACGCGAGAATCATTTTTTCTCTGAGAATAAAGTTATGCTCGTACCTGCTTTAGAAGGCCAATTGCCTGGAAGCCTTTACAAAAGTTGCATTCTCAGTCCAAGTACTGGCTCAAATCCCCCTCTCTTCTAAATTTGTATTCATTCAGAGATATATATATATATATATATATAT